AGAGAACGTAAAACCTCACTGATTACTGTACAAACACAACTTTATCAGTGATTTGGGTGAAACTGGATCATATTTTATGGAGAGAATATCGTCCTCAACTCTTCTAATGTAGCTGCTGTTAACAATAGCTTTCTACTAGCCGAGATTCAAAATATGATTGTTAGTTATTTTACAGCGTTCACTCTCGTTGCAGTTCACTGAATGAACACCGGGGTCACTATAAACAACAGTTTAACCTTTAAAGGGACATATTTAATATATATATATATATATATATATTTAATATGTGTGTTTGTGAGGAAGGAAGCTGATGGTGTAAAGTGTATCAGAGCTGAATGGGTGGGTGGGACATTTGCATTTCAAAGAGTCTCCTTGAGCTCCTCAGCTCATCACCGTCGGATCTATTGGACCTTCACTGACCTGCTGCCTCCTTTAAATCGCCCTTTCGACACCGACTCACACCTGCCGGGAGCTTCACAAGACAGGAACTGCGAAAGCTTGTTAAACTGCAGCTCCAGTTATTTGTTGGACCGTTTTGATTGTTGAAGAAGAGCTGGGAGGGAGAACGGCCCAGAACTGAGCCCTTTTCCAGCCTTTAATGTTCAGCTATAAACTTTAACACAGATTTAATCAGGCTTTTCTTGCTCATTTTAAGTATTTTAAGGTGTGATTATCTCCTCCTCTGCTTCAGCATCAGGTGCAGATGGAGTAAAAAATAAAAATCCCTCAGGTTTCCTTCCTCCCGATGCAGAGCTGTTTAACAGGGTTTAATGAAGTCTGATCTCTGGAGGCCTGAAGCAGCAGGAAGAGCCACCTGCTGAACTCAGCTTGATTGATCTCCAGTCTTATTTTAAACACCTCATCTATCTGGGGAGCGAGGACTGAACACAGAGCCTGATTTGCCAATTTAATACCATAAAATGAAGAATACCATATTGCTTTTTAGCTATTAGGAGCCAAAATCCTACAACCAGCCATATAGAAAGAAAAATAAACAAAAAGGAGAGTGACTAATTGTGTTAATTAATTGACCTTTTACTACTTTCTGCTGTTCACAAAGTTCATTATTAAACTTTATAAGAGAGTTATTAAGGTTAAAATCCCCTCTGCTCCACACTGTCAAACCAAACTCCATTCAAAAAACAGCTGTTTTAAGGAAGAACTGGACGAACAGACACCGAAACGGTCACTGCTGATTGGCTACAAAATGCAGTTTTAGTTAGAAATCAAACTGTCCTCAGTAGCAGATTAGGACTTTGATAGTAGTGAAGTAGTAAGTAAAAGTATAGACTCGAAAAAATATCCAAAAATAGTTACTTTCAGCCCTGATATTCACATATTTTGTCAATTTAATCGCGTCAAAACTGTAAAATTCATCCAACTTTAACAGGATTGGATGCTTCTCTCTCTGACGAACAACAGGGAATATTTCACCTATTTGAAACAGGCTGTAAATGTTTATTTCTGCTTTAAAGTTTGGCTTTTTAACATGAAGACTCACTGCTGAAGCCAGCCTCTAGTGGCCGTTAGAGGAACTGCAGCTTTTGTTATTCCCGATCATATGAATCACAAGTAATAGAGGCTTGTTTGTGTGACAGAAGTCACAAATTAATGTTTAAATGTGAAAGTTTTATTAAAAATATAGAAAAAAGCCTAAAAATTTCAAAAAATACTTGTGAGCTGCAGTGAAATTTGACATTTTAGGCTCCAACAATCACCAAAAACCCGCCAAATCCTGGAGGGACTGACAGGTAGGTGAAGTCAACAAATAAGGTAACACATTAAAGGACAATATTGCACAAGAGAGAGATTTAAAATAATAATAATGGTCAAAATTAAAGCAGTGACATGTTAAAAATCATTCAAAAAAAATTCAACAAGAACACAAACATTTAATTTCAGCTGTATTTGTTTAATAGTGGGAATTACAGATAAACTTGTGGTGATTTCATTTGATCATAAAAATGTAGGTTTAGAGGCTGAAAGGTAAAAAATATTAAAAATAACAGGACAAAAATAATTTTATGTTACATCTAGAAGTGAAAAATCTTCGGTTGCACAGTTGAGATCTGATATTCTTCCTCTGGGCGTTGAGGGTGGTCAATTTAATCCATATTTTACCGTATAAATACAAATTTTTACCATCAAAACAAACATTAAAATACCATATGAACACTATGATGGTGGTTTTCTGTGCAATTTAAAAAAAAAGAAAACTTTATTCTGTATAAATTCCTTTTAAAATGCCGTATAAATGAAGATTTCCTCACAATTACAGAAACTTTAACCTTTAACCTTCACTGTAAAATCTACAGACAGAAGGAAACAAATTGGAATAACTTTTTAATTTTGATGAACTTTGTCTGAAAAGCCTGGGAAAGAAGCCAAAATAGACTTTTTAAATTAGAATTAATTGTGACTCTTAAATATATATTATATTTAACACAAACATTAAACAGAAACTTCAGATCAACGGAGTTTACTGACGTCTGCATTGCTGGTGTCATTCCTCAGCCAACCACCAGAGGGCGCCAATGTGAAACATTTTCAAATCTTCCACAGTAACATAAAAGAAATAACTTTTAAAAACACTGTAAATAAAGTTCTGTGTGCAGGAAAAGAGCTTAGATTACATGAGATAACATATTTAATACAAATTACAGAAAATTCATACAGGAAGAACGTAAAAAGTGCTCAGGTCTGGAATTAAAATATGATTTATAGACTAAATTTAATACCAAAATATAATTTTAAATCAGCTTTAATAATTATCTTTAAACAATATTTAAATCTGAGTTTTCTGTGCCGGAGCGTCAGAAGGGCAGTTTGCTGGCGAGGGGTATCCTCTTCTTCAGGTTCAGGGTGGAGTTGACCTGCTCGGCCGACAGGAGGTTGTGCCACTGAGCGACCGGCCGCCGCGGGTTGGACAACATGTCGGCCCAGTGCCTGAGCTGGTTCCCCGACGCGTCGCAGCCCAGGAAGATCTTACCCATGGCGTCGTTTCGGGTCATGGCGTCGTGGTCCCACACCGAGATCACCAGGTTCACCCTCTGCGAACGACCGGAGGTTTTAGATTAAGAACTCCTAAAACAGCAGCTTTAAAGCACGTACTGTTGTTTTTAGCAGGTTTTATAACATTTATAATAGATTATAATTAATATACACGACTTCTGACCAAAGTGCTTACATTAATTCACAATCAGTATTTTTAAGGATGTTTTTTAGCAAATGTCGGCAACATTTCCAGACCTTTTTCTGCGTGTAAGCACCTGAAAATAAGAATCGTTTGTGTCTTCGTTACCTTAAAATGAGACGTTTAAACAAACATTACTATCAGTATCAGTCTTAAACATCCTGTTTTTGTCTCTTATAACTTGCCTGGATTTGTTCAAATGACACGTCGAAGGTGAAGGACTCGTTGTAATAAGGGTTTAGGGTCTTCTTTTTAATAGACGTCTTCCTTTTCCTCCACTTCCTCTTGTCCAGGGCCAACTGCACCTTCACGTACGGATCTGCAGACACCAAGTGGACGTTAAAATTCTCGATTTTAAAAAAAGACTTGAAATGAAGTGAAATTTGTTCAAAAAGATGAAATATTGCACAAAAATAGGAGAAAAAGTACAATAAAAACAGAAAATACACACAAATCAGCATCAAAATATTAGGAAATAATTTAAGTTTTTTGGGATTTACACTGAAAACTGATGCTGCATTCACATGGATTCAGACCAATAGACACTTTATGGACAGAAAACAAACAAACAAAGCATGTTGATATGTGGTGATTATTTACAAAGAATGAGATAAAACATTAAAAAAAGTGTTTTATGTATATTTCTAATTTCTGTCTCTAAGAACGGAAAAAAGTTCTAATTTAACCTTTAACCTTTAGACAGCGGCGTCCAAAGAAAAACAATCTGGACAACGAGGCGCTAATACCGTAAAACTACTAATAAAAACAGGGTCTCAAATAGAAGCAGGTCTCCTTTATTAGCCTGGTGTGGCTGCACAGTTTCACAAATAAAAGCAGGTCCTGGTCTGGATTTTATAGAAATTCTTTATATGTATAAAAGACCACCACGTTGCCCGCCTACCCTCCGACCTCGGCCCCCGATCTGACCCTTTAGGAAATCTTTTCCCATCTCAGTCTGACCTGAACTTCCTCCGATGTCCATCTTCTTCAGGTTTTTGGCCTCCAGGATCACCACGGTCAGCTTGGCGGCGGTGGGAACAAAGCGGAGTGAAAGGCAGATCTCTCCCAGGTTTTCGTCCTGCGTCACACAGACGAGACAGAAATCTTTACAGCGAAATGTCGTCAAACAACTCAGTAATTCTTCTCTTCTAGTGTGTCGCTTTTTATTTGGTGCTGAGAATCAAATAATACTTTCATATCCACAAATGTGTCTAAAAGCCCTGTGAGCTCGGCCTATAAAGTGTGTCTGCGTCTCTCATATATGATGATTATTATCGTCTGACAGGTTTGTGTTTTAGTCTGAAAGTAAAATAAACCAGTTTGTGCTTGCTGTAATCATTCTTCCTGTTTATACTGGATATTAAGAGGAGATTTGAGTTTTTTGTCCCTCAGGCACAGATAATAATCATAATAATAATAATCATAATAATGATAACAGCTTACTTTATATAGCACCTTTAAAAACAGAGTTTACAAAGAAAATAAAACAGGATACTCAGAAGACGATATGAAAACAAAGAACTTGGGAATAAATAAAGGAAGAAGATGAAGAACATGGTAATGAAATATAAATGAATACAAAAATAAGAGAGAATAAAAGCCATAAAAACAATACGTTAAAAAGAAAATGTACAATAATAATAATACGTTCATGGTCTTCTCTAAAGCTCGCTTACAGTTGCTTGATGATTTCAGTTTTCACATCTGAAAGGGTCGTACAAGTACATGGGTATATGGAAGCTTTAATTTAATGTAAATACTGCTAATGCAGGAAGCTCAAAGTAAATATTTGCTTTTATTTTAGAAATAAATCTTGTTTTTTGATCTCAATGAGACTTCCTGGTAAAATAAATGTTAAAAATAAAGTGAAATACAATAAATATGCCTATAAAAATGGGTTTTAAGAAGCGATTTAAAAGAAGCATTTAGAAGAAGGTGGTGGCTTGATGGTTAAAGCCTTGACCACTTGAGGATCTGATGCTGTGGTTCCCAACCTTTGTCCTTGAGGGAACTCTACCAGAGTAAACTGATGACTAAAAGTGACATATTTGATGGATATTTCATATTATATTCAACAATAACAATAACAGTAAAGAATAACTGATGGAACTGTACAATGAACCCGAACAGTGAACTCAGTAACAACAGGAAGTTTGTGTTAAATTCGTGATTTTGATGAATTTCTGACAATTTTCTAATATTATTTCCTATGAAAAATGCAACAGAGATGACTTTTTCTGATATTTCTAGTCACTTTTTATACAATCCTCTGTCTGTATTGTGTGTTTTCTTCTCCTCTCCGGCCACTATAGCTTTCCATCGTGAAATGTACCCAGTGTGCAAAAAAAGGGAACAAAGCGAACCTCAAACTTGGCGGGCTCGCCGAGGTCCTGCCACTCCTCGATGACGTGGTTCCAGTCCACATTGCAGAGCTGCACCCTGAGCTCGCCGATGATGTTGTGTTTGGAGAATCTGTTGAAGTCAAAGACCTGCATCACCACCGTTGAATCCAGGAGGGACGACTTGGATATCTGGGAAAAGAAGCACCAGAAGTATCTAAGGGTCTGAAACCTTCTGGGACCTTTTGTTTTGAGGAACCTTTTTGACACCACTTCTTACATGGAAGTTGAATTGTTCGTTGAAGACGGGGTTCAGCGTGTGTCTGAACACTTTGGTCTCGCAGGTTCTGGATTTGTCGGGGCAGATGTAGACTTTGGCATACGGGTCCGAGCTTCCTCCCAGGTCCATGGCCTTCAGGTTGCTGGCTTGTTTGATCCCCACTGTGAGCTGAAAGACCAACAGAAAACAGACTTTTAGTGAACGAGATAAAGCATCTAAGTTGCCCTTGCAGTGGATAAAACGTCATACAGTGCCCTTGTGTGCCCTTCCAGTGGATAAAACACGATAAAGTGCCCCCTAAGTTGCCCTTCCAACGGATAAAACAAGATTAAGTGCCCCCTAAGTTGCCCTTCCAGTGGATAAAACACGATTAAGTGACCTCTAAGTTGCCCTTGCAGCAGATAAAACACAATAAAGTGACCTCTAAGTTGCCTTTCCAGTGGATAAAACACAATAAAGTGACTTCTAAGTTGCCTTTCCAGTGGATTAAACACAATAAAGTGACCTTTAAGTTACCCTTCCAGCAGATAAAACACAATAAAGTGCTCTCTAAGTTGCCTTTAGAGTGGATAAGACAACATAAACCCCTCTAGGGTGCTAATCCTAACCCTGACTAAGATTGTTTCACCATAAATGTTGTTATTGTACATTGTACATTTATTATTTTTCCTCCACTGACATTAGCTGCTACTAGTCACAGGTTTAATCACCTCAGACTGAGCGCCGTTGTATTCCAGAGAGTAGAGCAGCTTTCCTCGCTCCTTTTTAGCCGAGCCGTAGTCCACATCCGCCACGTCCGGCTGAATCTATCAGAGCACAGGAAGCACATCAGGGACACCAGAAGGAGCTGACACAAGCCTTATCTTAAGAGAATATTTCTATTCAGTGCTTTACTAATGTGCAAATATTGATTTATGTGATTGTTTGTGATTAAATCTGCATTTATTTCTGCCTTTTTTCTGAAACAGCCATCCAATGATCCTCCAGAAGGCGCCGTCACTCACCAAAGCTGAGGTGGTTTTTCCATTCACGCCGTTCAGATTGATCTTCTCGTCCTTCTTCTGCTGCTTCTTCTTCTTGTTCCCTTTGCAGCAGCACTTGATGCAGATACACAGACAGCAGAGCAGAATCAGCAGACCGCCGGCCACAAAGATGGCATAAACCAGCCATCGAGGCACTGCCGGAGAGAAGATCCAATCCAATCCAACTTTATTTGTTAAGTACTTTAAAACAACCAAAGTGCTGTACAGGAGAAATCGTGGGTAAAGAGATCTCTTTCTGATGTGGTGGGAAAAGTAAACCTGTAAATCTAATGCGACACAACAGCTCTGCCTTTAATTCTACACTGTACAAACTAAACATTTCAAGGCAACTGTGTTAGGTTTTTAAATCAACTAATAACAATTAATAATAATTTACTTTTCTCCTCAAAATCTTGAATCTTTAAGTTTTGGAAACAAAAAAATCTATATTTTACTTGTTAAAATGTATATAAACATAAACAACATGTTTACAGTATATAAAGTAACCTTTACCAGCTGCAACATGAA